TCCAACTACTTCTAAAAAATAAATATTAAAAAAAAGTTTACCTTGGCTATTCAGGGATTTTGTGGCTACAAAAAAAGCTAGGTCATTTTATCTACTTCTATGAAGAATATTATTGGTGTTTTAATAGAAATTGCATTGAATCTTTACATTATTTTGGTTAGTGTGGGCATTTTAACAATATTAATTCTTCCAGTTCATGAACATAGAATGTCTTTCCCTTATTTTATGTCCTCTTTAATTCTTTTGTTTTTCTTTTAATTTTATTTATTTTTATGTGCTGAGGATCAAACCTAGGTCCTTGCATGTGCAAGGTGAGCACTGTACCGCTGAGCCATAATCCCAGCCCCTCTCTTTAATTCTTTTCATCATTTTTTTTGTCCACAGTAGAGATCTTTCACCTCTTTGGTTAAATTTATTCCTAGGTATTTATAATATATATTTTATTTTTATTTTTTGAAGCTACTGTAAATAGTATTGCTTTCTTGATTTCTATTTCAGATAATTCACTTGGGGCATAGCAGTACAACTAAATTTTGTATTAGATTTTATACGCTGCAACTTTGTTAAGTTTGTTTATTCTAATTTTTGTGTTTGTGTGTGAAGTCTGGGGTTTTCTATACATTTTGTTTTAAATGTGTATTTTGTTCTATGACATGTATCATAGAGAGGTCTTCTATCTATGTTAGACCTATTGCCCCCAGCCCCATCCCCGCTCATTTTCTGTCAAGATCATGTTTTGTCCTTGACATCATAATAGTTTTTACAGGTTATGGATCCCCAATCCAAATGCTAGTCTTAAATTCTCCAAAGTCTGAAACTAGTGTTTTGGTTTGGTACTAGGGATTGAAACCTTGGGCACTTCACCACAAATCTACATCCCTAGCCCTTTTATTTTTTATTTACTTATTTGTTTGTTTTGTTTTGAAATAGGTTCTCAGTAAATTACTCATGGCCTCTCTAAGTTGCTGAGACTGGCCTTGAACTTGTGATTCTCCCCATTCAGTCTTCTGAGTTGGTGGGACTACAGGTAGGAGCCACCACTCTTGGCAAGTCTGAAACTTTTTGAGTACTGATGATCCTCCAGAGTTTTTGATTTTTGATTTATAGATTAAGAGTGCTCAACTAGTAAAAGCTATGCAGATATTCCCAAATCCAAAAAACTCTGAAATCTGAAACACTTCTGATTCCAAGCACTTCAGATAATGGTATATCCAACCCATAATGTAATTACTTTTAACGAAAATATAGAATTATGTAAAATACTGTGTTATGCTTAATTTACATTTGGGAAGTGACTGTGAAATCTAAATTAACAGATCAAGTAATTTAAAATATGTAATGCCTTCTTTTGTAATACAAATAACCATTTCCTAATTGATTATTTTCTAAAGAATTAATGGTATAGTCAAAGTATTAACTTCTGCCAGCATTTTACTGTACATAAAGCAGTCTTCTAAGCTGCTTGTGTCTGTTATTCATTTAGGCAGACACTTTTATTATTTTTCATTTTAAGAAACTGAAGGGAAGTTTTACAAGATCAGACCATTAAAAGATGATTGATTTGGCTGTGATTTAATCCCAGGCAGTGTGATTCCCACAGTATTCTTCCTAACTGCTCTGCTAATACTTTTGGATTTCAAATAATAACTAGAGGTTGATAAAATAGAAGGAATTTACTTTATTTATTTACTTATTTTTATGTGGTGCTGAGGATCCAACCCAGTGCCTCACATGTGTGAGGTGAGCGCTCTACCCCTGAGCCACAGCCTCAGCCCCAGAGTGGATTTACTTTTATAAAGAAATTTTCTGTTTCATCTAATATTGTTTAAGGATAATTATTTTTATGTTGTGATAATTACGTTCCTTATATTAGATATTCTTTGTATGTGTACTTAATTCGTAGCCTTGTTATGGCAACTTACTAAGTGAAAATTTTCTTTTCCTTTTCAGTTTGGCAATTCTATCATCAGCACACCTCTGAAGCGTCGTAAAGTGGCTTCTCAAGAAACTTTAGTTAATTCTTTATCTTTAAGCTGCCAAAGTTCGTTTGAAAGTGTCATTTTAAATTGTCGAAGTATACGAGTAGGAACACTGTTCCGACTATTAATAGAGCCTGTTATTGTAAGTATATTCTTTAGCTATTTGTTGTACTGATTACAAGATAAATTCCATTGCAAAACCTGATCTATAGTACTTAAAATTTGTAAGCTAAATTATGTAAGTTAATAGAACATCAAAATTATTTGAAGATTTCAGATTGCTTTAAGAATATATAAATAGTAATGCCTCACCATTAAAAATTACTGGATAAAAATTTATCGTAATGTTAATGTCCAGAGTAATGGCAGATTCACTATAAGAAGATAACCAGTGAATTAGAAAACATTCTAAAATTTAGTAGTTTTATTCTCATGCCAGCTTATTACTTAAAAAGGATATGTTAAAGAACTATAGTAAGAGCAAAAAGAATCCAAAAGCTTCAAGTTCCGCTTAAAATTTATGTAGCGTCAAAAGTTTTAGAAAGAGGTTCTTGAACTATATAGTGAACATCTAAGAAGCATATACTTTTAGACTAGTTTAATATTCACAATGCCTGATGTATTTTTATAGTACCTTTATCTTCCTTATTATACCTGTCTGCCCATCATTTTACTGTCACCAGGCCCATTCAAGTATTCATTTTCTCTTTGAAATGTTAATTTCCTTAAGCAGTGTTCTTTTTCATCATTTTCTTTTTCATGTTTTCTGATATTGTTCATAGATTTATCTTCCTAAAGCTTATTTTCTGTAGACGTTTGCTTTATAATGTCTTAACTTGTCCCTGATTATTTGTTCCTATCTGTATTTTCAAACCCTGTCTCTTGTATTATCCTTTATACATAAGGCAGTATCTGTAAAAGAACATATTATAAACCAATGGAAAACTTAAAAGGGAGTTTTATTCTCATTTTATGTTAAGTAATAATTATTTTTTTATAAAGACATAATTTTTATTTCTGGTAAAGGTTCATGATCCTAAGAAACAATGTGATCCAAAACAAATGCATAAACACACACACACAAAATCTACAGCTTAGTTTGTAGGCGCAAATGAAATGTAAACATTATTCTTCCTCTTTCTTTTCTTCCTTTTTTTTTTTTTTTTTTTTTGTAGTGAGGATTGAATGCACGCTTATATATGTTGGGCAAGCGCTCTGCTACTGAACTATATCCCCAACCTATTTTTCTTTATTGAGACAGGCTCTTACTAGTTGCCCAGTCTGACTTTGAGCTTGTGATCCTCCTACCTCAGCCTCCCTAGTAGCTAACATTGCGGTCTTCGCCTAAATGCCTGGCTGTGAATATGATTTCTTAGCAGAGCAAAGCTCCGTGGGAAGCCAGTAGTTGTTTTCTATCAAAACAATTATCACGACTTAAAAACTAAAAGTTTTATATACGTACCCTCAGAGATTTAAAGCAAATGATATATAGTTTATTTGCCCTTTATTGTCCAGTAACATTGTAACAAATGTTATGTTTTCTAGTGATTCCTAAAACTTGTATTTGTTACAGGTTTTCACATACAGATAGTCTTTCTTGATTTCTATAATTTAACAAAAATGTTACTCTGTGTACTTTATATCCCCCAAATTTCCTGGGGTTCTCTAGGTTTTATGAATTTCCCCCACATTAGCACTATTATAACTTTTCAATATGATGAATGAGCTTTTGCTGGTGATTTATACATTTAATGAAAGTTGCATATTTAGTTTCGAAGCTCTCTATTAAGGTATGGTGATGCATACCTGTAATCCCAGTAGCTCTGGATGCTGAGGCAGGAGGATTGCAAGTTCAAAGTCACCCTCAGCAATTTAGTGATATCCTGTCTCAGAAAATTAAAAGGGTTGGAGATATGACTCAGAAGTTTAAGTGCCCCAGGGTTCAATCCTGGTACAAATTTTAAAGAAAGAAAGGGAGGGAGGGAGGGAAGGAGGGGAAAAGAATTACATTAAAATTTGTTGGGCTGAGTGGTATATGCCTCTAATTCCAGCTACTTGGGGGAGTATAAAGCAGGAGAATCCCAAGTTTGAGACAAGCCCCAGCAATTTAGCAAGACCCTTTCTCACAATTAAAAGGACTGGGGATGTAGCTCAGGGTTAAAGTGCCCCAGGGTTCAATCCCTGGTACCAAAAAAAAAAAAAAAAAAAAAAAATTAACAATTTGGTGATTTTTTTTTTTAAATAAAAGTTATAGGTTGAGTTATATATGCTGCAGTGAATTGAAACTAGCTTTGTAAATTTAATGGAAAAAACAGAAGATAGTGTGTATAATATAAAATGTACTGTTTAAATTTTTAAAATGAAAATGCTAACTGAAATAATTCTGGAAAATGAAATGTAGAAATGTGCTTTGTGATAGTAATTTATAGATTACATATTAGAAATGCCATACATGTCTAAATATAAAATCTTTTCTCATTTTTTCAATGAAAGACATAAAATCAAGAATTTTGATCATTTTAATTTTAGATGTAGATGAAATAGCCCAATGTCTACTTAAAATATTAATATTTATGCTTAATTACATGCAGATTTTTAGATGACGTAAATATTTTATGTCATTATTATTGCTGCTTTTTGAATCATGTAGCGTTTTTCTGGAGCATAGAATTTTAGTTTCCTTGTATAGTAGAAGCTTCCAAGCTATAAGTATCCATTCTTGAAAAGCCCAAATAATGTGTTACTTTCCAGTGAAACCAATCAATATATTAAGTTTGAAATGCAATTGTTAAAATATGCATATGACATTCTAGACTGCAATTATTCTAGTAATTACTAAATGTATGTTTTCCTATTTTCTTTTTTACATCATGAAAATTTTCCAACTAAAGTGTTAAAAGACTTCTACAGTGAATATACTTCAGTTAAGTTATACTATTAGTAGCATATTGTACAAGTTGATTATCTGTAATCCAAAAGTCCAAAATGTTCTGATATCCAAAACTTGAGTGCTGACATGATACTCAAAGATTTGGATTGCCTGGTATGGTGGTCTGCACCTGTATATCCGACTACTCTGGAACTTGAAACAGGTGGGTGGGGGGGGACACATAACTTGAGCCCATGAGCTTGAGATGAGCTTAGGCAACATATTGAGACCCCCATCAAAATAAAGAAATATATAAAGTTGTCTTGGGGCTGAGGGTATAGCTTCAGGGTAGAACTCCTGCTTATTATGCACCAAGAATTTTTGGATTTTGACCATTTACAATTTCAGATTTGCACATTACAGATGCTTGAACAGTAAAATCCAGGCAAATATTCCAAAATTCAAAAATCTTCAAAATCTGAAATACTTTTAGTCCCAAGCATTTTGACAACGTGTATTTGCTTTTCTTCCCTATCTATATCGATTCATCTTATTTTTTTAAGTGGACTTAAAAGTATTTACCTCCTTTTTTGATTTTCTTAACTCCTGTAAATATGCAAAAATATTAATTTAAGTTTTGTCAGGCTTAATATTAAATCTTCACATTGAAATGATTAATTTAAAACACTGTCATAACCACTTATAATAACTGATTCAGGCAAGGACTTTCAGTGGGTGCTAAAACCATTGGGTAAAAGATGATGAGAAGGGACCAGAGTTCTGACTCAGTGGTAAAGCGCTTCCCTAGCATACATGTGGTACTGGGTTTGATCCCGGCACCACATAAAAATAAACAAATAAAATAAAGGTATTGTGTCATCTACAACTAAAAAAAAATGTTTTAAAAAAAGATGATGAGAAAACAGAATTTTCACAAGCCTTCAAGTTTTTTTTCTCAAGAGTATTTAATTGCAAAGGGAATCTTTCAAGTGGAAAAACCTACCAGTCGATGCCTTAGTTTAAGTGATTAAATTTGAAAGATTAATGAAACTGACACAGCTTGCCTTCTGATGTGAAATTATGGGAAGTATCAGCCCATCATCTATGTGCAGTTTGTGTGGAAATATGTGGCCTGAATTTTAAAAATGAAGAAACACAATCCGATACATGTTAGATGTTTTGCAGAACTTAGCCTAGGTTTCTTAAAGGCCAGTCCAGGAAGAACAGAGAGAGACTGATTTCTAGTGTAGAATGGAATAGATATGAGATCAATATAATATAACCTTGATACATTCATGGATTTGGGCAAAGTTGAAGCAAGGATAAAGGCAAATTTTGAGCAGTTAGTGAAATTTAAAGTATGAACTTTTGAATTAAGTTAATCTTGATTTCTAAGATGTGCGATGTGCTAATGTTTTGGTTGCACAGGATAATGTCTTGTTCTTAGGAAATATATGCTGAAGGATTTGCAAATGAAATGCCTGCTTTATGAAGGTTTAGCAAAAGGGAAGTGACCATATATGTGTGTGTGTGTGTGTGTGTGTGTGTGTGTGTGTGTGTGTGTGTGCGCGCGCGCACACACCACAAAGTAATGCAGTGGATGTGGCAAAATATTAACAGTAAATCTGAGTAAGGAGTATTCAAGTGTTCATTATAATAATATGTTAGTTTCTCTAGAGACAAAGTAGCAATATAAAAAAAATTCTAAGTACTTGAGGAAAAAAAAGTAAAGCCCTACTTTCTGAGAGATATTTTTTAGGGAAAATATTTCATCTTAAGTTTAAGCACATAGTAAATGACTTGGTTTCTCTTCCTTCTAAAGACGTAAGGTCCATGTAGTCTATCATATAAGGTATGTGTAAAATCTTTATAAGTCTGTGATCAATACTAATTATCTTATTTTTTTTTAGTTTTGTTTAGATTTTATCAAGATACATCTAGATGGTAAGCTACTTTATATCTGTTTATTCACTAAAGCATTGTGTACACTAAAGTACTTGATAGGAATAAAAGGTTAAATGGTATTTATTGAATTTATTAAGATGATTATTCATTATTATCTATGTCTTCTTAACAAAGGGCATGTATCGTGGTGTAATTTCTTTCTACAACACAACAAAGCATAATCTTTTAGAGCCTCTTATTTTGGGAAAAGTATAGAAATTTTCTTAATATACTTATGGAATAATAAATAGACTTTTAAATTTAAAGTTGTATTTTCTTCATTCATGATTTTTGATCTTGTAAAAATTGATTGATCCATTTAACATTTCCATTTGTTTTTCCTCTAGAACCAGAAAGTGATCCTATAGAGATTATTTTAAATACCTCTGATCTAACTAAATGTGAATGGTGTAATGTCCGAAAATTACCAGTCGTGTTTCTTCAGGCAATACCAACAGTTTATCAAAAACTGAGCATGCAATTGCAAATGAATAAGGAGGATAAAATTCGGAATGATTGTAAAGGAATAAATAAGTTATCAAGTAAGTTATGTGGAACAGAGTTTAAGACATAATCAGTTGAATAGCAGAATGTGCATGCACTAGAAAGTGGAAGACTTTATGATTCGTACAGAATGAAGGCCTAATGAAGCAATATTTCTCAGTGCACTAATTTCCTTTATTAGAATATAATACAGTGGCTACCTTGTAAAACAGATATTACTGCCTTCATTTTGTAGTTGAGGAAAATCCCACTCAAAGTGGAAGAGCTGAAGATAAAAATCCAAGTGTACCCATTGAGGAAGTTTTAAAAATGAGTTAAAATTCAAAAGATGTGTATTTTTTAACACTAAGTAAAATTGATTTGTTGAACTGTAAATCAGAATCCATAAAAATAGGCTTGAATAGAAAGTTTTCAAGTTCATAGAAAAGGTTTTTATTTTTTGTTGCTGTTGTTGTTCTTAATTAAAAATGACAGTAGAGTGTATTTTGACATATTATACATACCTGGAGTATAACTTTCCATTCTTGTGGTTGCACATGATGTGGAGTTATACTGGGGTCTTCATTCTTTACAATAAATAGATCTAATTCTGTAGTTGGTTGCCCTTCACCTCTAACATTTATGTCGTAGCCTGATTGCTTACAAAATAAATACTTTTCAGCAGTAATTGCCATTTTATCTTAATAATTAGTAACTTATAGCTACTATTAAAACTGCAAAAGTTGGGGCTGGAGTTGTGGCTCAGAGGTAGAGTACTCACCTAGCATGCATGAAACTCTGAGTATCATCCTCAGCACCACATGAAAAATAAAAAAATAAAGATATTGTGTTCACCTATAAGTAAAAATTAAATGTTTTTTTTTTTTAAAGAACCTAAAAAAAAAAACTGCAAAAGTTGACACATTAGTGAACAGGAGTTTTGCAATTAAATTCAGTAGATATACTACTAGTTTGCTTAGCACTTTCCTATTTGTATCTGGCAAAAATGTTACCTGGTACATATTTAAGACTGTAAATAGGTATATTCGTTACATGCATTAGTAGACTTGTTCTTATAAATACTTTTTTAGTTGTTGATGGACCTTTATCTTATTTATTTATATGTGATGCTGAGAATCAAACCCAGTGCTTTACACATGCTAAGCAAGCACTCTACCACTGAGTTACAAGCCCAGCTCAGTAGACTTGTTCTTAAGCTGTTACTAAAATAATAACAGTTCCTTTCTTTTGGTAACTTTAAGTGACATTGGTAACACTGATCTTTATTTCAGTATTTATTGTATCTTAAACATTGATTTTTGGATGTTTATTCCAGGACTTCTGATGATCTTAGTCTTCAGAATAATTAGTTGTTACTCTTTAAATTATCTATTTACTTTATTCTTTTAGTCTTATGGTTATATTTATTTCTTTTCAGATTCGGAGGAACAATATATAATTTTAATTTTTCAAAATGGCCTTGATCCTCAGGCAAATATGGTATTTGAAAGCATCATTACTGACATTGGTATAAAAAATAATGTTCCCAATTTTTTTGCAAAAATTCCCTTTGAAGAAGCCAATAGCAGACTTGTTGCCTGCACCCGAAGCTATGAAGAGAGCATCAAAGGAAGTTGTGTGCAAAAAGAAAATAAAGTTAAAACTGTAATTATATTAAATTTATTTTGAGTAATGAGTAATTTTAAGGGGACATGTTTTATAATAATGACTTTCATTTAAATTCCATTTTAGAATTAATTCCTTTTTATATGCGATGTGTGAACTATCTTGTAGCATCTAATGTAGGAACAAGATTCCCAATGTACACATACACACACTGCTTCATTCAAATCAATTATTTACCCTGAGTCTTAGGTTTGGAGGAATTTTGGTCATTTGTGTGTGGTTTTATGCTTTATATTTAATATATGCATACATGATTGAAAACTTGGGAAGGGAGGAATACATATTGTTTGACCTTGATTGTCAATGTATATATCCAGTTATAGGAACTACTCATATAGTTAGGTAACTCTGAAGCCACATGAACCAAATGCCCTAGTATTATTATAACACTACCACAGCAACTAAAATTTTGCTGACTTAATTTATTGGGGCCAAATCTCTCAGCCTTGGTATATACACAGAAATTGACTGTCCAAACACCATCTTAGTGATAGTTGAGCAAGGTCTCACACAGTGGATTGGGATAAAAAGCAGGAGGAAGGGGAATCATCCTCATTTTGCAGGGTTGGCTACAGGAGATAATGCTTTAGAGGAAGAAAAGAGTAGCAGAAGCCATAAGACAGCTGGAATGGACTTTATATTTCAATTGAAGGCTTCTCCCTCTAAGGAGCCTCTATTTCATTTAAATCTTGTAGAGGGTGAGAGCTTATTAAACTATGTTCCCTAAGCTTCTGCCCCACATATTATGGATTGCCAAGGCATTAAAAACATTGAACTTAGGTAGGCCTTCACTGCTAGAAGAAAACAAACCTACTTCTGTTTTTTTTTTAAAGGTTCTTTAAATCTTATACTACCATAATCTGATCTATTATGGATAGTAGAAATCTTATAGTAATAAGATGCTGGAAAGTCATTATTAACATATTAGTATACTGTCTCTGTCTAGAAGCTAAAGATAAAAGAAAGTGACCCCCTACTCTTGCCCCTTTTTTTTCTTTGTTGAGAATTGAATCCTGGGCCTTTGCACATGTGAGGCAAATGCTTTAAAACTGTGCTACATTCCAAGCCTTCTTTTTAAATTTTCTTGAGACGGTCTTACAGAGTTGCTCAGGCTAGCTTTGAACTTGTGGTTCTTCTGCCTCAGCCTCTCTAGTAGGTGATAATACAGTGTGTGCTACCATGCCCAACCTGTTTATTGTTTTTAATACAGATTCAGACATACTATTCTAGTTTCTTATTTTTAATCATTTTTAATTAAAAACTTTCTGTTCCTTGCACTTGCTCTTATAGAAGATTTTTCCATTTGACTTTGAATTGATAATTTAATTTCTTTTAACAGGTATCATTTGAATCCAAAATACAGCTTAGAAACAAACAGGAATTCCAGTTTTTTGATGATGATGAAGAAACCGCAGAGAGCCATACCATCTTCATTGGACCTGTAGAAAAGTGAGAAATTTCTTTTACATTTGTAATGCTGTGAATTTCTCTTTCTTTTCTATTATAATTCACTTATATAATTTGTAAAGCTTTGTTTATTTGCTTGTTTTTTTTTTTTTTTTTTTTTTAATTACAGATTGATCGTGTATCCACCACCTCCAGCTAAGGGAGGCATCTCTGTTACTAATGAGGACCTGCACTGTCTAAGTGAAGGAGAATTTTTAAATGATGTTATTATAGACTTTTATTTGAAGTAAGTTAATTTTCTACTAACCTTTTAGCAAATTTTTAATAATATTTTGTATTGTGTATTTTTATTTTCTAAAGTCAGAGATTATTTTGGTTTTAAATTTTACTTTTTGAGTAACATTTGGAAAGTTTTTGATCTGACTTTACCTGTGTTTTCACATTTTAAAACTGAGAATGGTGTCTAAAAGGATTGTGAGAATTTGGTGAAGTAATACATGTAAAGTAATAGAAAAAATGCAAATTCCCTTCAAAGATTGGTTGGAAAGGAAAAGAATGGAACAAGATTGACTCTGCAAATATTAATTTTGAACAAAGGAGACAGGAGTATCATTAAAGAAATGATGAGCAAAGAAAATTATCAGAGACATTATGTGATGATAAAGGAGTGACCCACCAGGAAAACATAGCAACTTTAAATGATATGTGCCATACAGTAGAGCTATACATGACATGAAGCAAAATTGACAGATCTCTGAGGAGGGAACAGATGAATTATGTTCTCTGAAAGGAAAAACTGCGTTAGGTTTTAAATGCCTAACCTTGTAAGACCCCCTGAAACCTAACATATATTTAAGGACAGATTTAAAGAAAGTTCTTTGTTACTAAATCAAAAGATGATATATCAGGCTGGGTTTGTAGTTCAGTGTTAGAGCACTGAAAAAAAAAGGGGGCGGGGAGTGTTTCTTCATACAAATGGCAAACAAGGATTTGAAAAGATGCTCACTTAACTTAATCCTTAGAAAATACAAATGAAACCATAATATGATATCACTGCAAACCCACTGGGTTGGCTACCATCCAAAAACAGCAAAAAGAAAATAACAAGGGTTGGTGAGAATATGAAGAAATTGGAACTGTTTTTCCCTCTTGGTAGTATTATAAAATGGTATAGCCACTACGTAATGGAAGACAATGTGGAAGTTCTTTAGAAATTTAAAAATAAAATTACCACATGATCTTACAACCTGAATCCTGCATAAAAATCCAAGAGAAGTGAAAGCATGGTCTTGAAAGGATATCTGTACACTCCTGTTCACAATAGCTAAGAGGTGGAAATCATTTAATGGTCCATAGATGGATAAATAGATAAGTAAAATATGACATTATACAAATAATGGAATATTATTCTCAAAAAGAAGGAAATTGTAACTACAGTCTCATGGATCGAATTTTGGGGCATTGTGTGAAAAATAAGTCACAGAAAGACAAATGCTGTATGATCACACTTATGAGATATCCAAAGTAATCAAATTTATAGAAACAGACAGTATAATTGATAGTTACTAGGTACTGGAGGAGGGAGAAAAAGAAACTGTTTATTAGATATAGAGTTTCATTTTTGCCAAAATGGAATAATGCATACTTTAATTTGTAACCGTATTAATATACTGTACACTACTGAACTACTTAGTTAAAATAGTTAAGATGGTAAATTTTGTTTTTACTACAATTTAAGAAAATGTTATCTCAGTCCTGATTTATACTCTACTACTTGAACAAGTCAAGCTACTAAGAATAAGAAGCATGAAGTGAATGTATAGAACAACATTGATATTGTTAAATGGAGTGTTCATGATTGTTGATTAGGTCAATTTGGTTGATAGGGCTATTAAGGTCATTTATCCCTACAGATTTTGTGCCAGGTTGTTCTGTGGTTTATGGAGAAGGGTTATTGAAATATCCCACGTTAATTATGCATTTGTCTTTCTCCTTTGAAATCTTCTATATCTGTTCTTGAAGCCACATGTATTTTGAAGGTCTGTTGTTAGGTACATATACAGTTATTTATATCTTGTAGAGTTTACACCTTTATCATTACAAAGTATCCCTCTTTCTCCCTGATAATCTTCCTTGTTTTTTTAAGAGCTTTGTTCAAAATGAATATCGCTCTTCCAGGTTCTTTTAATTTGCATTTGCATGGTGTACACATTTTCATCCCTTTACTTTTAATCTGGGTCTTTATATTTGTTTTTTAAAACATATAGTAGAATTTAAAAAATAGTTGAACTCCTGTATTTTGTTTATGTTCTGTTTTGTCTATTTCATACAGAAATAATTACACTTTTTAAGATATAATCATTATTATATTTCAGGAATCTCCTCATATTTTAGTTAGGCTTTAAGACAGATTTCATATAGTTAAACTTAGTCTGGCTTCTCTGATACAAGCATAGTACTAATAAAGATTAAAATTAAAAGTAATTATTTTTAAATAACCTATTGATATTTCTCTCATGACATTCTTAGAAGTGAAATTAAAAGGAAGCTTTACTATTAAAATGAATAAGTCTTCCTGATGTCAGAGCTCTTCATTCTTCTCTATTTCTAGCTCTACAAATTAGAAACAAACTTTTAAACAAAGTTTGCCAACTTTTCAAGAAGCAGGAAAACATGGCATCTGGGAAATGTTAATATGATGCAGAGAAAAAGGATTATTTTAATAAAAATACTTAGAAAATCACTTTCATGTAGTTGTAGATTAACCTTAAAATCATTTTCAAATGTTAAAATTAAATGTTATCTTGTTATTATAGATTTTGTACTTTTTGAGATAGCGTGAACTATTTGACCACAACAGTCAATATTAAAATGGCTTATGCACTGATGTACATTAATGTACCCAAATAGAAGAAAAGGCCAAGAGTTGTTTTTTTTTTTTCCAGTAAACTTGGATTTTGTCTTGAATTATAAACTGAAACATAACTTCTTATTAAAATCAATAATTATAATACATGTATATTTAAAACAACCAGAACTGTATTCACACAATTATTTATGGGTAGTTCAGAGTTAAAACTGAAAGATAAAAGTAGTTTCTTTAAAAGACAACAATTTGTTTATATATGAAGTAGTTAGTTTTCTTTTAATCACAAATAACTTTACTTTTTTTTTTAGAGAGAATTTTTTAATATTTATTTTTCAGTTTTCGGCGGACACAACATCTTTCTTTATACATGGTGCATGCCAGGCGAGCGCGCTACCGCTTGAGCCACATCCCCAGCCCAACTTTACATTTTAAGTTGAATTATCTCTTTGTTTATTCAGTTCAGTTTTATAAAGTAGTCATTGTGATTTGGGCCAGCAAAAGTAAAATAGTTCCCCCTCTGTGGTTTAGCTCCTGAACTTAGATCTAAGTTAGTACACATTGCTTTCTGAGTATATTATTGCAGAAATAATAATCAGTTTACTTTGTGTCATGAACTTATTGTTTTGTAGGGGCACACTGAGTTGCTTGAATGTAAGAAATATTTTACGTTATTTCCTTTTCATTAGAACTTGAGCTTAAGTAAAAGGTTTCAAAACTGTGCCTGTCCTCTGAGAGGACACACTTCTTAAGCATTTGGTGTTTCTGTGTAAGACTTCACAAGGCAATTAGACTATCTTCACTTGAGTAAAATGAATGTGGCCATAGCTTGATTGCATAGCTCCTATGAGAAAGTTTGAAACAAATAAATTTATTATAACTATTTCCCTTTGCAACATAAAGGAGCATTTCAATTTGTTTTCATATAAATTTACAGAAAACTAAGGTAAGGAAAAATTAGAACCAGTATAAGGTCACTTTAAAGAGACATTGTCGATAACCTCACCACTGCCAGGATTCTTTGTGTCTTTTATTTTCATAAAAAGTAGTATATAGTTGAGTCTTTAAGATTGATTAACTAAACTATTTAAAATGAAATGAATAGTATTAAAATAATTATTGAACTACAGTCCACATACCCTGCAAATCACCCTTCTAAAGTCTGTAGTTCAGTTATTTTTTTATTATATTTGAAAATTATAAAACTCTCACCACAGTCAACATCTGAACATTCTCATTATCCAAAAGAGAAACCCCAGTACCTGTTAGTAGTTACTGCCTGTTTTTTTTTTTTTTTCAACCTACCAAAGGCCTAAGGTAACCAACAGTCTTCTCTCTGTTAATGAATTTGCAATTCTGGAATTTTTATGTAAATGGAAACATATAATATGTGGTTCTTAACAAGTAGTTTCTTTTACTTAGCATGCTTTTAAGGTTATTCTATGTTGTCATGTGTATTACCACTTTGTTTCATTTTATTGTTGAATATTATTCCATATACATTTTATTTTTCCATTCATTATTTGATAGGTAATTCTGTCATTTACTTTTTTTTTTTTTTTTTTGTACCAGGGGTTGAATTCAGGGGCATTTACATTTTTGGACAATTTTTGAACAGCGCTGCTGCTAATGTTCATGTATAAATTTTGCGTGGACATATGCTTTCTTTATTCTTTGATTTAAAGTGTATCCTTAATTTTAAATTATTATATCTTTCAAGTCATAATATTACTCTAAAATACTATTTTTCATTATCCAAACATAATCTGGTCATTATCATTGTCCAAAAGTTTGCCAATAAGTTCGTTCATTTCTAAGGAATAGAGTTTAATGGTAGCTAAATAAATATTTTATTACTGCATGACTGGTTAATTTTAATATGAATTAAATTATTACATCGAAATTATTTTTGCTTAAAATAGATATTTGGTGCTTGAAAAACTGAAGAAAGAAGAAGCCGACCGAATTCATATATTCAGTTCTTTTTTCTATAAACGCCTTAATCAGAGAGAGAGGAGAAATCATGAAACAACCAATCTGTCGTAAGTCAGACTGAAAATATTTTAACAGATGTAATAAGATTCAATTTTAATTTTGTAAAAAAATCATTTAACAGTTATCAATCAGTATCCATGGGAGTTTGATTCCAGGTTTCCCCTACCCCACATGCCGATACCCATATCTGGAGATGGTCAAGTATGTAAAATTGTGCAGTATTTGCATATAACCTATGGCACATCCTCTGTATACTTTAAATCATATCTAATGATAATGTAATATGCTATTTATAGTCATTATATTCTTCAGGTGATAATGTCAAGGAAAAAAAAAATATATATATATATACATGTTCAGTACAGATACAATTTTTTCCCCAGAATATTTTCTGTCCTTGGTTGAATTCATGAATGTGGAATGGAGTGCCATTAGTATATAAAAGAAAATAGAAATCTCTGCAATTTACTTGCTTATTTTCTAAATTGTACAGCCAGGAGAGGCATCAAATAGGTTTATTTTCATTCTTTACAGATTTGTGTTTAACTGCCTTAAAATAATCCTGCACTAATTCTAGGCTATAATTTTTCTTAAATTTCTTACTGAATCCATATCACTTATTACCATTACTAGTTTGCAAGATTAATGTAATCAATAATATTCTAATATCCCCAGAATACCTAGAATTTATAAATGTTATGGGTGTAATATCAAGAATAGTGCTTTCCAAATATGACTGAATTTTAAAAATTACTTAGATACAGATTGCTCTGTTTTACTCTAGCTCTTCCATCTATAATATCTAAGAGAAACCTGTGAATCTGTACTTTAAATAAGTTATTTGGATGGTTCTTCATAGACAAGTTAACATCTGAGTTATTTTATTTATAATTCATCTCCTTATAGTGATGGCATCCAGCTCTAATTCTTGACTGGTAATAGGTCAAATAGGTACACACAGGAGTTGTACATACTCACTTAACTGTTTAATGTCTTGAATTGATTGCTGCTGTGTATAATATAAATATTTTCTATTTTAACAATTCCTAATTTGCATTTTAGAGTTGTTGATAGTCATTGATTTTGACCTGTGCTCATAATCTATCCTGCTTCATCTAATGTCAGTTGATGCTGCTTTTCCTGCTTTCTTCTCCTTAGTTACCATAAATCATGCTCTTATGCCTGCCCCTCACTGTATAGCTGCTAGTACCAGTTTTGCATAATAAAAAAAGTAGAGACAGAAGTCCAGGCAAGAGAATTATTGGAGCCCCTAGGCTATGCCAATAGGAATTAAATATCTCTTTCCTCCATATTCAATGATGGGCAATTTCATGCCTTCATCATTTTATCTAAGATGTTCTATTTTCTTTTCCCAGCTTCTTAAACTGTCTTATACAATTTTTGAAGCTATTATATATGAATCTACATAATTTGTAAATCACTGCATATAAGCTAAAACATTGAGACAATTCAGAAGCTTATAGTTTATCTTTCTTACAGAATACAACAAAAACGGCATGGGAGAGTAAAAACATGGACCCGGCATGTAGATATTTTTGAGAAGGATTTTATTTTTGTACCCCTTAATGAAGCGTGAGTAAAAATTTTTTTGTCAATGTGATGGTACTTTTTAAATATATATTTAGAATGTAAAGAATTCATCCATTTTTAAAACCGCATTTTGAAACTTGTCATAAGTATTGAATATGCCTGTTTTATAAAAATTAATGCAGTTTCCCAGGTACTGAATTTTGTTTAAAAAAAAAAGATAAGATACCTTTCTAATATTTTTTATAGATCAATGCAGAGTAAAGTCATTCAAACAAAAATAGTTATACTTGTGGTAGAGAAAATGTTAACACCAAAGGATGTTTAGTTACATAGATGGATTTAAATATTTTAAAACACACATTTGCTTTTAACCAAAGAGGAAGGTGGTTGGATTAATGGCATTTGATCAAATTGAAAATCATGCTATTTGAAACAGTTTTCTAAGTAAATGGAGATGCATAAGTAATTTGTATTATCATCCCTGTATATCTCCCTTGACCATAGAGGCATTGATATGTAAAATAGAATTTTAATACAATTCAGACTTCTAAGGTGGTGGTGGTTTGGTGTGTGAATGAGTGAGTGTGTGTGTGTGTGTGTGTGTGTGTGTGTGTGTGTGTTTTACTGTGGGTTTAACCCAGAGTCTTACATACTATGTAGATGCTCTGTCACTAAACTACATCCTCAGCCCTTTTTAAATTTTATTTTGAGATAGTCTCCCTAAGTTGCCCAGACTGGTCTTGAATATAATCCTCCTGTCTCAGATTGAGTTTTTTTGTATTTCTCTCTTGCTCTTGCTTTTGTTTTGTTTTGTTTTCCTATGCTTTTCAGCCAAAGACTACTGGAAATTTACCTGGAGTCAAATAACTTGGGAAAAATAAACCATCAGCAATTCTGTGGTCTCTCATTAAAAGAAAGTATAAGAGAATTTGGGCTTTGGTTTGGGGGAGAGTCTGAGGTAGTTTTCTTGGGTAATGAAGTAGCATTCACTTATTTAGTAAAAGAGGGAGATGTTTGCTATTTTGTGGATTGTACTGTAACCTAGCATTCTCCCCTGCCTAGACAAATTATGCCCTTACTTTGTGTTATTTTTATCGTGGTTTGAGTAAACTTGACTGAGATTGTTTATATTAATAAGACTAGCTGTGCCAGTCTATCTTCCTTTTGTTTCTTTGAAAAACAGATTTAAAATCTGCTTTAGTGATATACACCTATACTCCCATCCTCTTAAGAGACTGAAGTAGGATGATCACAAGAGTTCAGGAATTTAAGACCTGCTTGGGCAACAGTGTGAGATCATGTCTCCATAAAACATAAATATATTAATTAACTAATTAAAATAAGTTGTATTTTAGGGGCTTAAGATATACCTCAGTGGTAGAGCAGTTGACTAGCATTTAAAAGGTCCTGAGTTAGATCCCTATCACCCCCCAAAAAGAAAAATGTTTTAATTATGAGGCCTGTGTGCTCTACATCATAGCCCAAGCAAAGACAGATAACCTAGGTCAGAACATATATATACATATATATGTGTGTGTATGTGTGTGTGTGTGTATACACACACGCACATATATTTTAAGTTGTAATCTTATAACAAAAGTTAAAACTAACTGAACATTAATTTCTTTATTCTCTCCAAGATAAATTTTCTTTAAATTTATTATGTAAGTAACACATGAGGTACTAGTAAGTAAGAAAGTTATTTGTGAGAAATGAATTATATATTTAAAATAGAAGTATAATTTGAGTCACATATAATTTAGGGACAGGGTCATATCCCTTTTAGTCACTATATCTGTGTATGGAAACTACTGTCAGTGCTTCTAATCTTCCTGGTGAGAGAAGAATGAGTAAAGATGAAGGGCCACTAAAGGATTTCATAAGAGGAATATACCTTTTATAGATGAAAAAAAAAGCCTATAAGTCACAAGGCCCCTGTTTTGTTTTTAGAGAGTTAATGCCACAGATATTTACTAATTAATATTAGATTGGCTATCACATTTGTCAATTGTTTTATTTTTCTGATTATGCTTATTTTTTTAAGTTTATAAACTGTTAAAAACTGCTATAGTTATTGTCAAGGAATAAAGATTTGATATTTGGATATAGTTCAATTTAAGAAGGGTGAAATTGCCTTGTTCAGCCTCTCTCCCATTGGTAATTTAAGGTTAATGTAGCTACTATTAAAATGGCTCATAAGCTGGGTGCCGTGGTATATGCCTGTCTATAATTCCAATGACTAGGGAAGCTGAGGCAAGAGGATCACAAGATCAAGGCCAAATTTAGCAACTTGGACCCTTTCTCAGATTTTTGTAAAGGGGATGGTGTTGGCTGGGAATGTAGCTCAGGGGTATAAAATGCTCCTTGATTCAGTTACTAATAGACAAAAAGCAAAATTTTTTTAACTAAAAAAATAAAATGGTTTATAAAAGCAACCTTGGTTCTCTGAGATTATAAGTGATCATCTGATTCAGCTTTCTCCTTTCAGCAAAAAAGGATTATTTTCCATAGTTTTTAGGAGAGGCAACAGAAATCAAAGCTTATCTACATTGACAAAGTTAAGAAATGTTTAAAAAAAATAAATAACAGGCTAAGATTATAGCTGTAGGTTGAACACCATGTTACACCATATTCATCAATTTTTCAAACACATTTTTCAGCATATTAACATTCTAAAACTGAGATGTGCCCTATAGTCATCTGTGTCCTAGATTGAAATGAGAAAGTTGGTATGTTCTTTCTACTGCCCTAGTCTTTAACTAAATCTATATTAAGAATTAATAATTAAGAACAGGAAAAAAACATTCATCCATCTGGCATTTGATTTACTGATAATGAAGCAAGTCTTTATGACCTTTCTACTGGATCCTCTCAAGTGAAGACATAGTGCTGTTTCTTAGTACTAGCTTGGGATAATCTAGCATTTTGCAGGAATGAGAATGTGGAATAACTTTTTTCCATTCAAAGTACTTATTTTTTGATTCACCAAAATTTATCAAACATCCTATCAAATGAGAGATATTGTGCTTATCTATTAAGTTCTCTAATATCTATCTATATAGACTGTTCATTATATCCCAACACATATCCCTTTCCCTACTAAATAATGTTTTTCAAAACAATTTGTTAGTTTAATGAATATGAGCCAAGAAGGTACAGTTTCTTACTTAGGATCTGTACTCTATGGTTGGGAGCTGTGATACCAGAATTCAGCAACATGCCAGCATCTAATTGATGGCTGGAATTCTTTACTAATGCTTGAAATTTTGTAACAATGACTAGAGTAGATACATTTCAATATAGCATGAAACAAAGGATTATTCATATACATATTTTCCTTCCTACTTATTAATAATAAAAACAGACATGATAAAAAATTTTTAAATGGACACAATAATGTTTATTTTTTAATATTTTCATTTTTTAGTTGTAGTTGGACATAATACCTTTATTTATTTATTTATTTTTATGTGGTGCTGAGGATCGAACCCAGGGCCTCACACATGCTAGGCAAGTGCTCTACTGCTGAGCCACAACCCCAGCCCCTTGTTTGTTTATTTTTATGTGGTACTAAGGATCGAACCCAATGCCTCACATATGAGAGGCAACCACTCTACCACTGAGCCACAACCCCAGCCTGATGAAAGGTTTTTAAAAGGAATTTTTCATTTTAAAAACAAGAAGCAGATCAGAAGATTGTTCAAAAGTGAATTCAGGGGCTGGGGCTATAGCTCAGCATTACACTGCATGCCTCATATATGCGAGGCATTGAGTTCGATCCTCAGCACCGCATAAAAATAAATAAAAATATTTTGTCCATGTACAACTAAAAAACAAATTAAAAAAAAAAAAAGTGAATTCAGAGCCAGGCACATACCTGTAATCCCAGCAGCTCAGGAGGCTGAGATATAAGGATCGCAAGTTCAAAACCAGCCTCAGCAAATGCGAGGTGCTAAGGAACTCAGTGAGACCCTGTCTCTAACTAAAATACAAAATGGGGCTGGGCATGTGGCTCAGTGGTCAAGTGCCCCTGGCTTCAATCCTTGTTATCCCCCTCAAAAAAAAAAAAAAAAAAAAAAAAAATATATATATATATATATATATATATTAGGCTACATGGTTTTAATAAAAATTTGTGTTATTTTTGAATAGACATTGTATTGTTAACAGTGGTCATACATACACATGAAAACAGGTATAAATGATTTGAGAATTGAAAAAAATTAGCATTGTTACATTTGTTCACAAAAGCTTTAGAAAAAAACATTTAATTGGTATTTACTACCGAATATAATAAACTTTCCTAATAACATATTTAGTAGTTTCATTTGTTTTTTACAGCGCACACTGGTTTTTGGCTGTTGTGTGTTTCCCTGGTTTGGAAAAACCAAAGTATGAACCTAATCCTCATTACCATGAAAATGCAGTCATACAAAAAAGTTCAACTATAGAAGATAGTTGTATTTCTTCTCCTTCTGCCAGTGAAATGGACAGTTGTTCACACAACTCTTCTGCCAAGCCTGTAATTAAGAAGATGCTAAATAAAAAACATTGCCTAGCTGTAACTGATTCAAGTGCTGGACAGGAAGAAAGTGACCCTTGTTATCGGAGAAACATATGCAGTGTGAAATGTAGTGTGAAAAAAATAAATCATACTGCAAGTGAAAATGAAGAATCCAGTAAAGGAGAATCTGCATGCCAGAAAGTAGTTGATAGGACTAAAAATGAGAATGGCCTACAGAATGAATGTTTGAGTTCTGTGCATCATCCAGGTATGTATTTCTGTGTTCTGAAAGAATAAAAGAATCCAGAATAGGACTTAAACAATCAGATTTTTAAAAGTCCGGTTTATTGATATATATTACACTTAGAATAACATTCACTCATTGTATCAGTATAGCTTGAGCTGTGTGATTGTATACTGTCATATAATCACTACCGCAACCAAAATTTAAAACCTTTTCATCACTCCAGAAAATCTCCTTATGCTTCTTTAATAGTCATTCTCTTCCCTTTTCCTCTACAAGTACAGTTTTGAAATTGTAGAATAGGTTACTGTATCCCTAGTCTGAAATATTAAGTGCTTCAAAATCTGAAACATTATACAACAAATGGAAAATTTCTATACCTGACCTTGTGATGGTTCCAGTTAAAATGCAGATATATTAAATGTTGTATAAAATTACCTTCAGGCTGTGTGTAATTCTGGTTCCAAATATTTCAGATAAGGGTTACTCAGCCTATTCAAGGTTTTTATTTTTCCACTTATGAAATTTCATAGGAGGTTTACTGTATTCAAAATAAACAGTAGTTGTATAGTCCTAGATCTATAAAGCTAATAAATTCATTATTCTCAATTTACAGACTGGTGAATTGAGTACAAGTGGCCAGAAGCAAAAATAAAAGCTTTAGCTAGGTGCATGCCTATGATCCCAGCAGCTTGGGAAGTTGTGGCAGGAGGATCATGAGTTCAAAGCCAGCCTCAGCAACTTACAGGGGCTTAATGACTCAGTGAGACCCTGTCTAATAAAATATTTTAAAAGGGTTGGGATGTGGCTCAGGGATTAAGCACCCCTGGATTCAATCCCCAGTACCAAAAAAAAAAAGAAAGAAAGATTAAAGCTTTTCTCCTGTAAGCTATTGAAACTTCATTCTTCATTCTTTACGATTTTAAATAGGAAGAGGGGCACCACTCCAACTTCTGCTTTTATTTGTTTGTTAAAGTGCTAGGGATTAAACCTGGAAAGTTTGATCAAACATGCTAGGCAAGTCCTCTGCCACTGAGCTATACCCTCAACCCCAACTTCTACCTTTTTATTTCTCATCATCTCTAATAAATTGATTTTCTTCTCCTTGAGTTAGTTGCATATTTCCAGCTTCTCTCATAAGAATCTAAAAATTCTCTTTAAATTCTTAAATTTTGTATTAAGTCAGTTGTATAATTTTCTTTCCAATACACAAGAGTCCATTCTGTATCTTAATTTAAACACTACAAAAAGTATACCTCTATCAACATATCACATGTTATCCCATAAATATATACAAATATTTTTTTTTAGTCCTGGTGAACAAACCCAAGGCCTTATGCATGTGAAGAAAATGCTTTACTTTACCATTGAGCTACAAAAATGTGTAGAATCCTAAGAATATGTACAAGTGCTATGTGTCAATTTAAAAAAGATTTGTAAGTCTGTTCCATAAAACCCATAATATGATATAGTGTGTGCCTTGCAGATTTATTAAAATGAAAATAGATTTAATATATTTTGTTTGGATGGGAAAAATATGTGGTATAGGCCATAGAAGAAATTATGTGGATTCAGAAAGAACATGTTGAAAATTATGAGTGCTGAACATACTCTTGGTACTTCTACCAGCTTGTATTATTTTGTGAGTCAGAAACTTTTGTTGAGCTCTTGTAAGAATATTTTGATTTTTTGGGCCTACTAAGCTGCATACATCAATTCTGGAGTAGTGTACCTTTGAGAGAGAAGAAGCAGAAAAGGAAAACATGCAGGAAAGTTCAACAGAGGCCAAGCAGAAATACTTTTCTAGCTCATTTTCCAGTCTTATTTCATTGGTCAGGAAATAGAATAAAAGTAGGCAAAATGCTTGCCTATTATTTTTCAATTTCAGTGGTTTAATACTTGAGGATAAAACTACTCATTTATTTGAAATCTCCAGTACAGGAAAATCTGTAGCATAGACTTTGACTGCTTAGGACTTTTTTTTTTATTTTTTATTTTTGGTAGTAGTCAAGGACAGGAATGTGGCAATGGTAAATGAAAGCTATTGAGTACTGGGTTTTTTTCTTTTTGAGGTTTTAAACTTGATTGTAGGGATTGGACATGTAACTCAGGGGTAGAGTGCCTGCCTTGCATGCCTGAGGCCCTGGATTTATTCTGTAGGGATGCAGGGGTAGGGTTGGCAGCATTGATTGCAATGATACTTGTACAAATGTATGAATATATAGTTATCCTCTGGTATCCATGGAGAATTGGTTACCGATCTTGCTTTCCCCCAAGTACACCCAAATCTATGGAATCTCAAGTCCTTTAAATGAAGTGGCATATTTGCATAAAAGTTGTGCACTTACTCCCATATACTTTAAAACATCTCTTAAAGCATACTTTACTATAGTAAGTATGTTGAATTATATTATGTAATACAATATAAATGTTGTGTACATAGTTGTTATACTGTATTTAGAGAATAATGACAAGGAAAAAAATCCATACATGTACAGTAAAAATATTTTTAAATATTTTTGATCTATAATTAATTGAATCAACAGAGAACCCATGGATACAGAGGGCTAACTATGAAAAAATACTAGATTATATTCATTAAATAATTGAAAGTTATATGAATTTTATTTCAGTACTATTAAAAAGAGAAGCCAGGGGAAATATTTTAGTGGTTAAGTACAAATCCATGGGCTTGATCCTCAGCAAGGATCCTCTTAAGAAAGGAACACAAGAGAAGGTATTCCTTTGATGAGTTAACCAAAAATACTTTAACGTGAAATGAATTAAAGAGCAATGTAAATAAAGCTTAGGGCTTTTTAATACACAAACTCCACAGATTCCTAGTGCCCTCTCCTACAAATTAAAGTTCTGCTCAAGTTGAATAGCCAGTTAAAATTTGAGTGAATAGCATAAAAAATTCTAATGAGGACCAAAATTAAAGTATGTTTTATGTATTAATATCTGTTTATCCCATTCATTTTTAAATTATAGTTAGTGCATTTGTTTTGTTTTCAGTATATGTGCACCGACACCAATTATATCTTCTTGGGAGGGAAGTGGGAATGGGGGGAGAGGCAAATGATAGCTGAAGGGTAGAGAGTTTCGTCTTTTTTGTTTTTTCACTCTTGTGGTGTAGGGGATTGAATCCAAGGCCTTACATATGCTAGGTGAGTGTTCTTCCACTGAGTTATATCCCCAATCAAAGGCTTATGAAACAAGTGTTTCACAGAATATTGATTTTTTCATTTTTGTATTTGTGATAACACCTGTACTATTTTCATAGTGCTTGCTTTAGTCCAGGATTGATAGTGTCCCACAGTTTGAAATAGTGCTCTGCAGTGGGTCTCTGCACACTTGGGTAATGAGGTTCTATAGTTTTAATCAGATGTTTCCAATGCATCATTACCCAAAAGTACACTAAATAAGAGTGCTCTTTAGATGTGCTTTTCCCAACCACCTCAGAAAGGATGCTTAAGCAGTCTGTTCTATATACAATGATAGCATATTAAACAGGATTTAAATTGTGTGTTTTAGACAGTTTTAACATAATTTTAGCTATCAAAGACATAGTTACCAGTATTGACTACTAATAATAGACAAAGTGCAGTTGTATGTAAATGGAATTATATCTAATCCCAGATATTAGGATTTTTAAGTCAGTGTGTGAAAAGTACTTGCTATTTTTTCAGTTGAGCACCATATGAAATAGTTAACTTGCTAGGGTACATGAAATGTGTTTAAACTTGAGACTCAAAATCATCTTCAGATGGTCTCACTATGAGAAACTCTCAGGAACTTACATTTATTGATAGAAAGATTGATCAAGCCCAGCATGGTGGCACATGCCTGTAAATCCCAGGAGCTAGGGAGACTCAGGCAGATTTCTGAGTTCAAATTCAGCCTCAGCAACTCAGTGAGATCCTGAACAACTTGGCAAGACCCTGTCAAAAAAGTAAAAAATATGGGAACAAAAAAGGGTTGGGGATGTGTCTCAATGGTTAAGTGCTGCTGGGTTCAATCCCTGGTACCAAAAAAAGAAAAACTGATTGAATTGCTACCATTTATTTATTCCAGGTCATTTGTTTATTGACAGTAATAAAGGAGGGAATTAAATGAATTATTTAATTTATTTTGTTTTTGAAATGCACATACAATTTAATTGGTGTAAGGTAAATATTCATATGACCACAGTTTCTGTAGATAAGAATGACTTGCTGCTAAAAACCTGATTAATAATACTAACCTGATTGTGATTTACTGATTCTTAATTGCCAGAGGGTTTGGGCAAATTTTGGGCAAATGTTATTCAAATAAAGGTGTTTTAACTTTAAACAAACATAAAAATGCAGTTTTGAAAAAGATAAGATGAGGAGATTATGGTTTGTATAACAAAATGGTTTACCATTATGTTTGAATAGTTATTTTAATAATAACTGATCATAATATTTTAGGTATGTGTACATTTAATAATATTTAGACTTTTGTCTTTTCGGAAGTACATTTCATTTTGCTTCCTTCCCAACATTTTTATATTAATATTTTGACCCCTTATACAAAAACTAAACTTATACTAAAATAAACTTTATCTAAAATATCCAGAAGTCATGCTTTCTAAATTTTGTAAATGCTGTGCTCTGAATTAAACAATATTGATATATTTGGTATTAAAATCCCTGACTTGGGCTTAATTGCTTTCATCTACATCTTATATTTCTTTGAAATGTTTTATGTAAATAATTTTTTTTCAGTCAGCAAAAGGGTTGATTTAATGATTTAGTTTCTTGGAACAAAAGCACCCATTAAAGTAGTCATTGTAGCTTTTCTCTATGTGGTGCTTTATTTTAATCAATTTTTTTACATTTATTGTATAATTTTTTTATATTTTCACAGTGTTAATTTTAAAATTATACATTATTTTGTGTTCTAAAGTTTTCTGGTTTTGTTATTTAGCATTTATATTATTTTCAGATTGTTGTAACTTCTAGTATGAGTTTAAAATATCTAGACTACCTAGTACAACAATGTTTATCTACATATATTCATTCATTATGTATTTTAAGTATGTGTACGTTTAATCATAACTGATACCTAGTTTTTAAATTTTAATGAGTTTCAGGGTCTAAGTAGTAGAAACAATTTGGTAATTGATGTGTCAACTAAAATAACTTGCTTTTTATTTGTGAGATTACATGATAAAATGGATTTTATATCCTTAACTATTATATCATTGAACTACTATATCATTGATTAACTATGAGCATTAATTTTAGCATTATATCTTATGAGTTATAGGCATGATGATCTTTTTTAATATATGTTTCTTGTTGATACAGATGGCTTAAGCAAAATCAGACTAAGCTATGGTGATGAATCAGCTGAAGGTAGTAAAATGCTTGAAGATGAACTAATTGACTTCTCAGAAGATCAAGATAATCAGGTAAAACTGAAAGCCTGGAAAAATATTCTGTTTTATCTAAAATTTTTCTTTAGGATCATGTAAGCAGGTCCTTCAACCAGTAAAAACTCATCATGGCTTCTGAAATTTGGGTCATACCTCCAAACACAAATTTAGGTTTCAAGTCAAAGGTTCCCAGGATAAATGTATTAGTACTGCTGTTGTCTTGCCACTCTGATCTGGGCTGACCCTAACATTACCTCTGAAAGTTTTAATATAAAATTAATTCTCACCTGGGCATGGTGGCATACACCAGTAATCCCAGCAACTCTGGGGGACTAGGCAGGAGGATCACAGCTGAAAACCAGCCTTAGTAACTTAATGAGACCTTGTCTCTATATAAATTAATATAGAGAGTAATAAGTTGAGGATATGGATTAGTGGTAGAGTGCCATTGGATTTAAGCAATCCCCAGTGCCACCAAAAAAAATGTTTTATTTCTCTTACCAAAACCCATCTAACACCTTCTATCCTACTTCCTCTTTCAAAGAATTATTGGGTCATACTTTGTAGAAACTTGACATTCAACAGGAAAATGTTTAAATTTTCAATTATGTAGTATATGAGCATAGAAATATTATCTCTCTGAAGTGTCTCCAGTGATTTTTTTCTTTCAATTTAATGTGTATGTATCTTGACAAGAGCAGAACATAAGTGAATTCTAATATCCAATATGAATATTAAGAAGTGTATGGGTTGTTTTTTTTTATGTTTTGTTTGTGGTACTAGGGATTGAACCCAGGGCTTTGTGCATGTGAGGCAAGCAGTCTACCAACTGAGCTATATACCCAGCCCCAAGAAGTGTGTTTTTGAAATTATTTTATAGTTTCAATTAAATAGAACCTTATATTAAAAAATCATAAGCACCCTACAGCCAATTATTATTTATTTTTTTGACCTTTCTTTAGTTGTTAGGACAAACTTTGTTTACATAAAAGTAAGGATTGCTTCATACTGTACTATTTTTTTCTTTTTGCTTAATCTACTACTAGCAAACCAAGAAAGCACTTTTTTTGCACTTTTTAAAATTATTTTTTTAACTTATTTGTTCTAATCAGTTATACATGACAGCAGAATGCTGTTTGATTCATTATACACAAATGGAGCACAATTTTTGACTTCTCTGATTGTACCAAAAGTAGGGTCACATCATTCATGCAGTTATACGTGTACCTAGGGTAATGATGTCCGTCTCATTCCACCATCTTTCCTACTCCCATGCCCCTCCTGCTCTCACCTTTGCCCCATCCAAAATTCTTCCACTCATCCCATGCCTGCTCTCCGACCCCCATTATGGATTAACATCTCCTTAACAGAAAAAACATTTGGCCTTTGGTTTTTGGGGATTGGCTTACTTCACTTAGCATGATATTCTCCTACTCCATTCATTTACCTGCAAATGCCATAATTTTATATTCTCTTTTATTGCTGAGTAATATTCCATTATGTATAAATATCATAGTTGCTTTATTCATTCATCTATGGAAGGGCATCTAGGTTGGTTCCCCAATTTAGCTATTGTGAATTGTGCTGCTATGAACATTGATGTAGCTACGTCACTGTAGTATGCTGTTTTTAAGTCCTTTGGGTATAGAGCAAGGGGTGGGATAGCTGGGTCAAATGGTGATTCCATTCCAAGTTTTCTAAGGAATCTCCATACTGCTTTCCTTGCTGCACCAGTTTGCAGTCCCACCAGCAATATATGAGTGTGCCTTTCCCCCCACATCCTCACCAACACTTATTGTTGTTTTTATTCTTGATAATTGCCATTCTGACCGGAGTGAGATGAAATCTTAGTGTACTCCTAAAGTGCAAGAAATGAAATCATAAATCAATAAATGGGATGGATTCAAACTAAAAAATTTCCTTCTCAACAAAAGAAACTATCAATGAGGTGAATTGAGAGCCTACATTTTGGGATCAAATTTTTGCCACATGCACATCAGATAGAGCACTAATTTCCAGAATATATAAAGGAACTCAAAAAACTTAATACCCAAAAATCAAACAACCCAATTAATAAATGGGCTAAGGAGCTGAACATACATGTCTCAGAAGAAGATATACAGTCAACAAATATATGAAAAAATGTTCAACATCTCTAGTAATTAGAGAAATACAAATCAAGAAAACACATTTTTTTGTATGTGTGTGATGTCCCTTGGTTAACAACGAATGACTGTAGGTGTTTTTTTCCTAATATATACAGGTTGGGCATCCCTAATTTGAAATCCATATTTTAAGTACTAATAGTGTGCTGTCTCTTATAGGATGATAGCAGCGATGATGGATTCCTTGCTGATGACAATTGCAATTCAGAAATAGGACAGTGGCATTTAAAGCCTACTATCTGTAAACAGTAAGCAATAACTATGTCTTGTAAACTATATGATGTTATTTAAATAGTTTTTGCTTAAACAAATATTTAAGTATAATTCACAAATGCTGTCAGGATCATTGAGGAAAAGTGGGGTGTGCCACCAGGGATAAAGGAAGGGAGAATGAGTAATTATTTCAGTCCCCCATTTGCCCATTTTTCTAAACTCTTCATCTATGGATATACATATATTTCTCAATAGTTAACCATTATTCTTTTTAGTATACTGTGTCTTGGAACAGAAAACACATGTCAAAACAGTTAACACAGGTTTGGAGTTTACACTGGTTCCGTAATTCCTACATCGGGGCCATGGAGTGAGTCACATCAGCACTAAGGGATAAATTTCATATAGGAACCCCAAATGAGAGTAAATCACTGTTAGTTTTCAGAAGTACATGTGTGTTTTGAAATCTCTCCAGAGATCCCAAATTTAATTATTTCTAGACTTAATCTCCTTTGACTTTGTCTATAGGAGACTTGGAAAAGCAAACTTAATTTACAAAAGTAAACCTCTGGTAGTCCCCTCAGGACAAGGGGATGTAGCTCAGGAGTAGAGCATGTGGTTTAGTATGCTTGAGGCTGTGGGTTAAAACCTTAGCACACACAGCAAGAAAGTCTACTCCAGATTCCCCCCCAAAAAAATTTAGCTAAGAGTGGTCTAGATCTTATTATTTCAGGACATTTGGCACTACATGTACTTACTTGGGTTTACAACATAGCTGTATAGAATTGAAGTTCTTTGAAAATTGGATTTGAATTAAGTGTTCTGTGGTAGAATCTTAAAACATACATACACACACACACATACACACACACACACACACACACACATACACATACACACACACACACCCTAAACTGTTGGCTTTTATGTTGTGATAATTATCTGTCTTAATATTTGTAATAGGCCTTATTTTTTTTAATGGGGTTATTTTCCTTCTACTTTCACATGGCCCCACTGGGTTTTTTTGGTTTTTTTTTTTTTAATATTTATTTTTTAGTTCTCGGCGGACACAACATCTTTGTTTGTATGTGGTGCTGAGGATCGAACCCTGGTTGCACGCATGCCAGGCGAGCGCGCTACCACTTGAGCCACATCCCCAGCCCAGGTTTTTTGTTTTTTTTAAGTGGAATGAATGTTCAAATTTTCATATTTTGTTTTTCTGCTAAATTTTTAAAGTATTATTAGGAATCAACTATGGAAATTTAGTGTAACATATTTATAACCAAGGGTTACATTAATATTTTACAACTCAATGTTTACTATAACCATCAGTACCTAATTACTAGGCTGCTTGTATCTCTAAAGTTTATTTTTCTTCTGGTATTTACTGAGGTAAACAAGTAAATTCTGAAGTTTTAAAATTTTATGTTAATATGCTATTAGTCTTTTTATGCTTTTGTAACATTGTGAAATATTAAATTTTTGGTCATTTGTACTCTGCAGACCTTGTATCCTACTTATGGATTCTCTCAGAGGCCCTTCTCGGTCAAATGTTGTCAAAATTCTAAGAGAGTAAGTTCGAAATTGCACCTCACACTTTGTTTTGTATTCTGTTAAAGATGAGGCAGTTTGTATATTTATATGTGTATAATTTATTGCATATGCATTATTGCAGGTATTTAGAAGTGGAATGGGAAGTTAAAAAAGGAAGCAAAAGAAGTTTTTCTAAAGATGTTATGAAAGGCTCTAATCCAAAAGTACCACAGCAAAACAACTTTAGTGATTGTGGTGTATATGTATTACAGTATGTAGAGAGCTTTTTCGAGGTGAGTTTTAGTTTTTTGGATCTGACATAATTGATAATGAAATGTGTATTTGACTTTATTTTTTGTATAATGAACAACTATTTTGTATAGTGAGCAACTATTTTAGAGTTTGAAAACTGTGGTTTCAAAAATTATTCCAGGGAGGAAAAACTTAACAACTTTTTAAAAACTCTTTGCAATACAGAGAATCAAAGCTAGAGGCACTCTACCACTGAGCTATATCCCCAGCCCTATTTAAATTTTGAGACTGTCTCTCCTTCAGTGGCTCAGGCTGGCCTCAAATCTGGAATCCCCTTCCTTCTGTTGCTGGAATTTTAGGAATGTTCCACCATGCCCAGTACTAATTGGAACACTTTTAAAAGACATACAGGTCACCAAATCCAGTGCTGATCAACCTGTCCTGTCCACTGGTTCTTTCCACCTTAACTAATCTCTCCTGTAGTTCCTACTGTCTCATTTCTCCCCTTCACAGATTTTTTTTTTTTTTGTACCAGGGATTGAACCAACCACTGAGCCACATCCACAGCCCTTTTAATTTTTTATTTAGATACGTGGTCTCACTAACTTGCTAAAGCTGGCTTTGAACTTGCAGTCCTCCTGTCTCAGCTTCCTAAGCTGATAGGATTACAGGAATGCACCACCACACCAGAACACAGATATATTTCTTGAAAAATAATTGTATTTACTGCCTCCATTTTCATACTTGCTCCTCAAATCTCTGATATCTGGCATTATCCTTACCCTTATGTTAAAATTGTTCTTTACTTCCCATAACCATTTAACATTGTTGACCATTAATTTTTCACTCTCTTCCTTTAACTTCAGAGTAATAGTACCATACATTTCTCCCTTAGATATTCCTTAGTTATCTTGACTCCTTAGTTCTTCATCCACTGTCCAGTGGATGAATCACAAAATACTGTCTCTTAGATATCAATGCATACATTACCTTGTCCGTGCTGTTTCTTTCCAAGTCCAGTGTGCTAGCACCACTCTTGAAGGCTTCTGTATTGATTCCCATTCTTCTGTTTCATATTCCCATTCTTTCTGCCTTCTCTTTTTCATAATTGTTTTCAAAAACCCAAATCTAATCATGTTACTTTTTTAGTAGCCACCATGATGATTATATTGTTATTATTACTAATATCTTCCCTTCACTGCCTGTACTTCTATTTTATAATGACAAGTGCTCTAAATTCACTAGAAGGTTTCATACAACCATTGTAAAGCAAGCATTCTAAAGAGTTTTCTCCCTCAGGAACTATCATCTAGAGAGGGGTCACAGAAGCCTCCCAGCTTCCAGGGTCTACCACATCTCCAGGGTAGAGTGAATACCTGGTGTGCCCATACCCCTTCAGCATGATCCATTCTCCTATGCTTGAGAGGCATAAGTCAGTTTTAAGATTCCCTCTAACCCTGAGACTCCGGTGTTGTTCGTTACAGTGGTTGCTTGACTCCTCTATACCTCTGAGACAGTACCAACTCAACCTTATCCAACCACAGCTTTATTGCATTCAAGAGTGTGCCCTAAAATTGCCATGAAAAAAAAAAAAGCCAGATACATGCTAATGTTTCTTTATAAAAGCAAAACTGTTCACTGTTCATTCCAAGTAAATTGTTTCGTAATCCAATGGCTTCATCCGGGCTTCCAAAAAGAGCTGAAATGCTCAGGATACAGCTAAGCACAGCGCTCAGAGAAGGTGCAGATTTGTAAGGTTGTTGGAGCTTCACTCAGCCTCCATGGTTCTTTCACAAATGAGTATTTTCCTTCTCTCCAGTCCTGCCTTAAATATTTCAGTGGCTTCTTGTTGCTTTTGAGTTAAAGACCAACAAGTTTCAAATGACCTGTATGATCTAGTACCTATCTAAGCTTTAGCCTCGTTTTCCGAGCATTGTCATTCTAGCATTCTATATATCAGCCAGCAGAAAATTACTCAGTTTTTCATTTTGTGTCTTGTTCTTTCTTTTCTCTAAGCTGTAATGTACATTTCTTACTGTAATACTCTTCACTATTGCTTCTGTCTTTTCTTGACTGGCTAATGTTTACTTGTTCTTTAGGTTTACTCTCCTAGAATAGTATTAGCCCTTAGATATTTATTCTCATAGTGTTCTATACTTATGTCGTAATACTTGTCGTATTCATCATTGAATTATCTTTCTGTCTGGCCTGGGGCTGACAAACCTTTTTATAAAGGACAAGAAAGTTAAGTATTTTTTTTTAGGCTATATAGCCATACGATCTCTTGTTGCCACTCTGCTATGCTAAGTTCTACACCCATACACCATATATGAATGAGATTATGTGTCTGTATTCTAATAAAACATGGGCTAGGGATGTCACTCAATGGTAGAGCACGTGCCTGTCATGCATGAGGGGGAGGCCCTGTGCTTGGTATCCAGCATTGCCAAAAAGAAAAGAAAAAAAAAAACTTTATTAAAATAATGGACATGCAGAATTTGGCTTATTGGTTGTAGTTTGCCAGCCTTTAATCAAGACTACAAGATCTATATACACAGAAATTATCTTACATTTCTGGTACCCAGCATATTGCCTGGCATATGATAAGGTAATGAATAAATATATATTGATACTTTCTTTTTTAAAAATCATTCTTTTTATTTGTACTAGATACAAATTTATGATGTACATAATTTCTTAATATATGTATATGAATCTGAATATTCCTATATTAAGAATGAATTTTTTTTTTTTAAGATCTTTATGGTTGGTCATACATAGTAGTTGGGTCCATCTGGACAAACTTAGACATGCATGGAAATCGACTTCAATTGATATTTTCATTTTTAACTTTGGACTGTTTTTGTAATTGAAGCTAAAATGTTATTGATTATAATTTTCTAATAGACACTTAATCTTTCATTTTCAGAATCCCATACTAAATTTTGAGCTACCTATGAATTTATCAAACTGGTTTCCTCCCCCAAGAATGAGAACAAAAAGAGAAGAAATTCGAAATATAATTCTGAAGCTGCAAGAAGATCAGAGTAAAGAGAAGAAACAGCCTAAGGACAGTTCCTCAACAGAAGCATCTTTAGGTGAAAGAACAGAACAGTATGTCAACAGTGTCTCAGATTGACCAGAAGACAATTGTTGCTTGTGGCTTTCAGAAATGAAATGACTTTCAATTTTGGGGACAGTCAGTAAAGAACTGAAGTACTCACTACTCAGAGTGATTTGGAGATGTTAATGCTTGTATAAATGTCATATAATTAATTTCCAAAGGAGTATGTATTAAGTAAAAGTCTGTAAATATGTTAATGAAACCAATTTTTCCAGCATTTATAATTATTTTTTTCACTTGTTAGGAAGCTTTTGTTATGTATTTTCTGTTAATAGTACTTAAAACTGCAACTTCTAAACACAAAATAAATAAAAAAATATTTATAGGAGGAAATGATTAATCTGATATATTCTTTAGTGAACTTGTATAGTTCCTTCAGTGGGTTTGATTTATTTTATGGGAATAGTTAAGTATCTATGATAATCTTTTTACCTTTTATATTTGCTCTAAAATAACTCAAAATGTGAAAATAATATTAAATCTAAGGCACTTTCAATTAAGAAAACATCTTTATATACTTGTACAACAAGAAAAAAGTACAGCTTTTCAATTCATACACTCTCATGTGTTATGAAAAACCAAAAGTGTAGTAAATATTTATATATAATTTTCACATACTTAGGAATAAACAGCATTGAGTAACTTAAGGAAAACTACCCTTGAATTATACTACCAAAAAATAACTAGCATACATTATTATCAAATGGATTTTTGAAGACATCAAAGACTCAGGTTGAAACTATTTGATAAATGCAGCTTGAATTTCAAATATCCCATGTTACCTTTCTATATTATATCTTCAAATATGCTGCAGTCTGTGTGATGTAGTTAATTGATAAACATTTTTAATCTGCATAAACAGGAATTTAAATAGGAATTGCTATTTTTTGTAACTACTTTTGCTATTTTTATTGCTCATTTTGATCTTATTTTGATAAAGTATCAGACTTTTGCTTGAGTTTTTCAGTGCAAATTATTTTTACATGTAAAAGTACTGTCTTTAATCACATAATGCAGCAAAAATCTCCCTTTGAAATGCTAAAATATGGGTCTAGGAATATAGTTCAGTAGTAGAGTGCATACTTAACTCATGTGAGGGCACCGAGTTGAATCCCCAGCACCAAAAAAATAAAAATACTAAAATGTGAAGATTCTGATGATACATTTGCAACTCATATAGAAAGCTTGCATATATTTGTAGAAACTTCATTATTTTTCAAATGAAATCATATACATTCTTTCCAGATGAGACTTGAAATATATATTTTAAGTCATTTTTTTGTTAAATGAGGAATGAATTTTTAAATGCAAGTATAACAAAAATAATAATTTTTAAAAGGCCATTTCTATTGTCAGTAATTATTTTATTTTTAACTTCCTGGCTCTGGTATGGTGATAAACAATTTAGAGGGTTTTTAGTAATAACTTAGTTCTAATGGTTAGATAATTAATTCAGTTATGAAAAGCAAGAGTTGTACAGCAAAATGCTTTTGGATCTCTAACGAAACGAAGACAAAAAAAGCAGAACGTCTTTTTAAAAACTAATACCTAAGTTTTTTCAATGAACTGTATTTTGCTAGAATTTGATGGTACTGAAAAAAACTATCCCAGGGGCTGGATGTGGTGGCACATGCCTATAATTGCATCTGTTCTGAAGGCTAGAAATGAAGATCACTTGAGCCTGAGAGATCAAGATCAACCTGGGCAACATAGATTCTATCTCAAAAGAGAGAGAGAGAGAGAGAAAAGCTATTCTAAAATTTTTTTTTTCTTTTAATTTCAAGTGGTTACATTTTACAGGTAATTTTTGATAAACTAAAATTATAACTTGTCCCTTGGGCCAACTCTTATCAGTATTTTAATTTTAATATGAAAAATATAGATTGATGTATGTCAACTATCTAGAGGTAAGAGTACTCAGATATTTGGTATTGTCCCACCCTTTGTGAAATTTTATTTTTGAAAGTAATGCATTATATATTGCATATATATTGAAATCTTTGGAGGCTGTCAGGTTGCACTTAATAATTATGTACTCTGGTAACTTCTATATGTAGTTTAGAGTGGATATCAGCCTTTTAAAATGTGATTAATAAGTATTTAGAAATTGTGAAACAACTTTAAGGTCTAGAGGTTTGCTACTAGACACTGAAACTGCATGACGAGTATCTGGTGTCTTAACTAATTAGATAGATCTGTTGTATTGGTTTTCTTGTGGGATAGAATAACAGTTAATCATTTTTAGAAGAGTTTTAGATTACTTGCCATAAAATTTGTATGTATCTTAGCTCTTGATAGTTTAGGAGCGAAAGTGATGTTTAACTAGTCCCTTCCCTTTAATGTTGCTGTACCTACTTCAGACAGTTGAAAACTTAATCATTATTTCAAGTTCATTTAAGCCTAGAATAGTTACCTTTCGTTTGCACAGTAACCTGTACTCAAACTCTTAATTAAATGTAGGAGGTTTTACTTTAAAACACAAAATGGTTACATAAATTACATCTTGTTTTAAGTCACCAAAATAAATTCAGTATTTTTTTTAAAAAAAACCATTCATGATCTCTGAAGACTATAAGATGTAATGTAAAAAAAAATAACAGTTTTAATTTCCTAAAAATTAAAAATGTACTTGAAAGTCTTAGGTAATTCACTGGAAATAATAAAGAATATATTTTAATATGTAATATGATCGAGAGTTGGTATAGTAAAGTTATGGGAATGTTACAGTGGAAGAGAATAACTTGGTCAGAAAAAACAGTAGCTTACAGAGATGAGGCTGTGTGGTGCTCTATGTCTAGAACAGACACAGGTATCAAAGCTGCTCTACAGATTATTCTAGAGACAAATGGAAATTGAGATTATTGTGAGGGCATATCCAGCCTGTCAAGCAGATATCAATGTTTTACCAATATGACAACCAAATGTACAAAGAAAACCAGACTGCACTGGGAAGTGTTATCTGTTTTAAAAGGGGAAAAAAGTGCTGAAATCCTCCAAAAGGAGTTTCAGGTGTATTTATAATTTTCTTAATCTCAGGAAGAAGAAAAGGGGTCATGAAAACTGCTATTCCAAAACTTAAGTTTTCCAATATGGGAAGAATCAGTTGACCATTGTGAAATGAGGAAAAAAACTGGCCCTATCATCTGAATTAACTAGATCAAGGAATAATGGCAGACTCCTCAATTACTGTTAAGGAAATCAAGGTGCAGTGGACTCACAAGAAAGATGCCATAGACCCCTGGTGTAAAACAGGAAAGTTAAAAGCATAGAGGATTTTATTTTTATTGAAAACAATTACAGTTAAATAGTCCTTGTTGCATATGATTACAGTGAGGATGGCAGTGTCCAAAACCAGCATTTTTATGTAGAAATATGCATGAAACTCATGGGGGAAGCTTTTCATACAACACATGCCCAGGTCTCAATCCCATTGGTATCATGAATTTCCCAGGTATTTCCAGTACCCAACTGCAGCAAGCCACTAATTTGAAAGGATCTATGTCCCTGACAACTTTCAAATTTATGGTTCCAAAAATAATGAAGCTTTGTATTTCTTTCCCTCAGATCCTTTATCTCTACACCCCCGACACACATACAATTTTCATTGAAAATCTGATTGATGAAGTCATTAAATTGTTACCAAGCCTTGACTGGCAAAAGTCCTGATTTTTAAAAGGAAGAAAGTAAATTCTGCAAATGATAAAGTACTAGAGTCACTTTGTTTTTGTTTTGTTTTGTTTGACAGCTCTGGGATTGAATCCAAAGCCCAACATGCTTGGCAAGAGCTCAACAAATGAGCTACATCCCTAACTCAAGTGCCCATCACTCTTGATAATATCCTTGGGTGAATCACCAAATGGATGGTTTTTGAAATCTTTTTTTTTTTTTTAGAGAGAGAATCTTTTAATATTTATTTTTTAGTTTTCGGTGGACACAACATCTTTATTTTTATGTGGTGCTGAGGATCGAACCCAGTGCCCCGCGCATGCCAGGCAAGCGCGATAGCTTGAGCCACATCCCCAGCCCAGTTTGTGAAATCTTAAAGCATAGGTCACTAGGAGCCATGGGACTATGAAAAGCAAAATTTTGATTTTTGTTTAATTTTTAGTAGAATTTTGAGGTGTCAATGCAATTCTCAAAAGTGTATTTAATAACTAGCTTTCATAAATAATAGATTCAAGTAAGCTGGAAACAGTTTAAACCAAGTTAAGTGGGTTTTCTTACATGGCTTCTTGGAGCTTTTAATATGCTAATGTACAGATATATTAAATAAGAGGAAAATACAAAACAGTCATACTATAGAATACTGTAGAATTGGCCATATTTACCTTTCTCTTGAACTAAACTTCCTTATAAATACTACCAATAAGGAGACAAAGTTAACTTTGAGCTGTCCAAACTGAACTGCAAGAAAAGATGCCTTTTAAACTCATTTTAGTTTTTTGTTTTGGTTCCTTTTTTAGCCTTTTATTAATAATTGGGTATATGGTTTGGAAATCTAAAAATAAGTGACTAGTGTCTTGGTGAAATGAAGCTTTATGGTAAGTGTTTTTCCTTAACCATGATGAAAATATTTACAAATTAATTCTTTTATACTTGTAATTGTAGGTGAAAAATCAAATCTCTTTCATCCTCTATTCCTTTAGAATTAAACTGCAATAGATGATCTTTACATTTTTTTCCTGAAGAAATCTGTAAAAAAAAAAAAAAGCTACAAAATATTAATACATTTATGATATTTTAAACTTCTCCAGTAACTGAAAAATTATTCAAACTTAATTAGCATTATACATGCTAACAGAGAATTTGGTGAAAAGCAAATTAGATGAAATTTCCTTAAATATTGAATAAATGTTATAAGTACCAACTATGTACTAAGTGTTAGAGGTAAAAAGACACCATTTTCTCCCCTCTTGGAGCTTCCTTATAGTGTGTTGGGAAATACATCTGTTAATTAGCCCTACAAATTAGTAATTTCAAATAAGTGCCATCAGGAAGCATAGAATGTATTAAGTTAATATAGTCTATCCTGGGAAGGTTAGAGACTTCCTAAAGATGTGACATTTGAACCGGTGATAGACAAAATGAACAGTGCAGAAAGGGAAGAGAAGAATAGCACTTGTGTGCTGTGCAAAAGCCCTTAGGTAGGAAGGTGTGTGATTTGTCCTCAATGATAATAGCCTCATTTATCAAGCACATACAAAGTATGTGGTCTAAGCATTTTAGATGAATGAATTCATTTATTCATCACAATGACCTTATGAAAAATGTACTGTTAATACTCCCAATGTATGGGAAATTTTCCCCTGAAAAACAGGGCTTTGAATTCACATCTTACCCTAAAAGGCTAGATTACCTGTGCTAGAGAGACAATGATGAAAATAAATAAGATGACCATGTTTTTTTAGAAATGCAGTGTGGCATATTTATTTTTGAAAACTGGGTGGCGATTCATGTTATTTTTTAACTTTTGGCATTTTCATAATTTTTTAGAAGGCCTGTAAGTGAGGTAGAAAGGGAGGCTGGGAACTAATCACATGGCTTTAACATCTTGTTCAGAGTTTGGTAATTATCCTAAAAAATCATTGAAGCATTTCAAACAGGAGTAACATGACCAAATGTAAATATTGAAAAGATCAGAGTGGTAGTCACGAAAGCATTAGATGGGACAAGAATGAGTTTAAGTCACTACTATAGTAATTAAACTAATTATGAATTACTATATGTAGGGTGAAGGATACAATTATGCCTGTGATTATAGGGTATTTCATTTAAACTTTTTCTTTTAGAAATATGCAACAAGAACAGAAAAGGGTATTCTTTTGTCCCATTCAGAATTTTTGGTTTGTTTCCTTTATGAACAGTTATTGAAGAGACAACATGTACAGTTGAGAAATGAAGAGAAAATGACAAATCGAAGACATTAAAGTTTTCTTATTTTAAAACATGAACATCAAAAACACAGAATTGATACTGACATTGTATTGTTTTCACAAAAAAGTACTACATGACAAATTTATGCTTAAATTTGACCTAGTTGGGCCAGGTGCAGTGGGCACACTCCTGTAATCTCGGCAGCTCTTGAGGCTGAGGAAGGAAGATTGCAAGTTCAAAGCCAGCCTTAGCAATTTAGTGGGGCCCTAAGTAACTCATGAGACCTGCCTCTAAAAAAAATGAAAGAAAAGACTGGAGATGTGGCTCAGTGGTTAAACAGCCAAATTCCCAGTACAAAAATTAATTAATTAACTTAAAAATAAAGAAAAAAATTTTTGCCCTAGTTCGCCAACATTTCCAAACATGCTTCTTACAGAAACTGCCCAAAGTAATTGTACCATAGCTAGTTATAGTTTGTATTAGTTGGTCTCTTCCATCCCATTCTCCTCCTGTCACAGCTGATTGGGTTTAGTGGGCACTTGATTTCAATGAAAATTGGTTTGTAGTCATATGACCTAGGAAGTAAAAAACCACCAGGCTTGGTGCACACTGGAATGGGGAACATGCTTTAGGGAGGAGGATCTTAAGTTCAAGGCCAGCCTCATTATTTAGTGAGACTGTCTCTAAATAAAAAATATAAAAGACTGGGGATGTAGCTCAGTAGTAAAACACCCCTGGCTTCAACCCCCAGTACCAAAAACAAAAACAACACAAAATATTCCAAACAGATCTGGTCATTGGGTATTAGATTGAAAATAGGAAAGAATTTGCAATTTGGCAGAGAATGCAGTGTGTTAAAATGAGTAATAGAAGTACTCCTTTTTAAGATGGACTTTTTTTCCCACATTTTTACCTCTGAAATAAGGCTACATCTTACCAAATAAAGAAACTTAAGTTCTCATCAGAATCATACAGGAAGCTTAATGAACACACGCCTGGTTCCCAGAGTTTCTGATTGAGGTCTGCAGTGGGACCTTAAATGTACATCTCTAACAGATTCCTAGGTGAGACACACTTTGAGAAACGCATTATATGGATTCTTTGCTGTGGTTTCTGTCATTTTTGTGAAAACTTCTTGATACAGTTAGCACCAAGAAAGCACCAAGCATTAGAGCATCTGTATTCAATGAAATGCTGTATGAAATTATTTTATCCTATTTAAGAATATCCTTTCTGTAATTACAAGTAAATGTGAATAACAGGTATGTGATCACAGGATAGCTTTGCTTTTTTAAAAAATTGTTACAGTCTGGATTTTTCTTTCCTTTATAACGTATTTTAGCAACTTTGTATGTATTCGTTAGTATTTCCCCCCCCATTCATAGTTTTTCTATACATCTCTATATATGTATAAAGATACATTTGTTAATTGTTTTTCTTATAAAAACTAGGAAAATTATGCAAACATTTTCAGAATCTTTTTTTTTGTCTCTTAGCAATATTTTGTGTAAATTATTTTACCATTTCCTCACTGTCAGTTCCACTAGACTTGGTTATGCTATAGTAACAATTCTAAAATCTCAGGACTTAAAGAGGAAAACAGAAAAGCTCTGCTTGTTAGTTACTCAGCTACCAAAATGAAGCTCTACATTGATCAGCTTTCATAACCATTGCAGAGTGGGAAGGGAAAACTGGTGAGCAGCATATTGACTCTGAAATCTTCTGCCCAGTGAAGGTCCAAGTCAAGATGGCGCCTGGCAGTTTGCAGGAGGAGTGGTTTGTGAGCCAATGCCACCGAGCCATTAAGATGATGGAGAGTCCTTATTGGCTGATTGCTGTATCTAGATGATGTTAATTGAAACAAGCTGTGTATAATCAGTTAGGTATATATACCTCTGCTGTCCTGCAATAAAGCAGCTCCCGCTGTTTCAACCTTCACAAGTTGCTTGTCACCTCCCAGTTATTTGCCCAGCCAGACTGTGGCAATCAATGCCACTCACACGGGGTTTGGTGGTACACACCTGTAATCCCAGTGGCTCCGGAGAATAAGACAAGAGGATTGTGAGTTGAAATCCAGCCTCAGCAATTTAGCAAAGTTCTAAGTAATTTAGTGAGACCCTGTCTCTAAATAAAACATAAAAAGGTCTGGGGCTGGGGCTGAGTGGTTAAGCACCCCTGGATTCAATCCCTGGTACAAAAAAAAAAAAATTACAATATTTCCTGCATTCCCACCAATAATAGGTATTATAGCCCTTTTTAATTTTGTAAACATTTTGCATAAAATTATTTGTTATTACTTTGATGTGCATTTCCCCAATCATTAGTTTAAATTTGAGCACTTTTTTCATGGTGGCTTTGCCTATCATTTGTCCAATTTTTTATTGGATTATTTTCCTTATAATTAATATTTAGGCTGTATATATAAATTCCATTGCCATCTGAATTACCAATGTACTTACTCAATATCTATTATTTTGCTGTACATTTTATATTTTCCAAAGTATAATTTTTATTTGTATATATTCATTGAGTTTTCCATGATTAAAAGGCTCCTTTTTGACTCAGGATAGAACATATAGTTACATTTCTTAGAAGAAAAATGTAAGTAATAAAATTGAAATTTATTTATGCCTATGCTAAAAGATAATTATAATTTTTAAGAATTTCTTCAAATGGCCATGAATGGTGGCACACATCTGTAATACCAGCAGATTGGGAGGCTAGGCAGAAGGATCCCAAGTTCAAAGCCAGTCTCAGCAACTTGAGAGATCCTGTCTCAAAATATAAGAAATGGTTGGGGACGCGTAGTTCAATCCTTTGTACCAAAAAATTTTTTTCTTCAAGATTATCATTTGTGCCAGCACTGATTTATTAAAAATTTCATTTCACATTAAAATGAATTTCCATCTTTCTCATATATTGAGATTTATTTCTGGAAATTCTATTCTGTTTTCTATTTTGTTTCTTTGATTTGTTTGCTAATTATTATACCTGGTAACTATAGAATATAGAGAAAACTACTTAGCAGAAATTTACAGATTTAAATACCTTCATTATTAGATACAAAATGGAAAAGAAACTAAATCTCATGTTAAAAATCAGGAACAGAACAATCAAATATTTTTTATTTTCTAGTTGTTTTTTTTTTTCAAAACGCTAGAAAGCAAGGTGTGGTAACATAGGCCCATAATCCCAGTGACTCAGGAGGCTGAGGCAGAGGAAAATCAAGGGCAATTTAAGGGCAGCCTGGATAAATTTGTGAAATCCTGTCTCAAAAAATAAAATAGGGCTGGGCATGTAGTTCAATAGTAGAGTGCCCATGGGTTTAATACCACCACCACCACCAAAAAAAAAAAAAAAAAAAAATTAATGATCTGGAACTTATTTTACACCATGCTACCATAGTCAAAAAAAAAAAAGAAAGAAAGAAAGAAAGAAAAAAAAAGAAAAACCCCAAATGTAGTTCTTGTTTTTGTTTTTGGAGTACCATGGATTGAACTCAGGGGCACTAGACCACTGAGTCACATCCCCAACCCTATTTTGTATTTTATTTAGAGACAGGGTCTCACTGAATTGCTTAGCGCTTCACCTTTTGCAGAGACTGGTTTTGATCATCCTGCCTCAGCTTCCTAAACTGCTGGGATTACAAGTGAGCCCCACCATGCCCCACAACAAATTTAGTATTTTGAAAAGATAATAAACTCTTAAGCTAGATAAGAAAAAATAAAAATGTAAAAGAGAAAGATATATAACAGATACAGAGGGGGCTGGGGATGTGGCTCAAGCAGTAGCGCACTCGCCTGGCATGCGTGCGGTCCGGGTTCGATCCTCAGCACCACATACCAACAAAGATGTTGTGTCCGCCGAAAACTAAAAAATAAATATTAAAAATTCTCTCTCTCACTCTCTCTCCTCTCTCACTCTCTCTTTAAAAAAAAACAGATACAGAAATACATAAGAGAAATTAATGTTTAATAATATGACCACGGATTAAAGGCTTAAAGGAAATAGATGAATTCTTAGAAAGTCAGAAAAATATCAGAACTGGCCAGGTACAGTGGTGCAGGCCTGTAATCCCAGCCGCTAGAGAAGCTGAGACAGGAGAATTGCAAGTTCAAAGCCACCTATGAAACTTAAGAGACCCTGTCTCTAAATACAATATAAAAAAGGCTGGTGGTTAAGCGCCCCTGGATTCAATCCCCAGTACCAAAAAGAAAAAAAAATATCAGAACTGATTCAGGAAGTAAACGACTTGATTAGCTTATGTACAAATACTTAGGAAATACTGGCAAAATGTTAAAAGAAGAGTCACTATGGACAGCGAGCCAGGACTAAATCAATTCTTACTTTTAAAATCCAAGGCAACTTTGAACTTCTCAAGCCATGAAAATATCCAAATTATATATGAAGCCAGTATACTGTCAATAAAAAAATTCTAGTAAAGATTGGTATCAAAAAGTAATAAATAGTAGAGGCTGGGGCTGGGACTCAGTGGTAGAGTGCTCACCTAGCATGTGCAAGGTGCTAGGTTTGATCCTCAGCACCAAATAAAAATGAATAAACAAAATAAAGGTATTGTGCCCAACTACAACAACAAAAACTTAAAAAAAAAAAGTAATAAATAGTGTTAGCAGTGTAACTCAGTGGCAGAGCACTTGCCTAGAATGTTGGAGGCCTTGGGTTTGATCCCTAACACCTCCCTCAAAAAGCAAAAGAAACAAGTAATATACTAAGTGGTAGAAAAGGTAAAAATCATTTAAACTAATATCAAGAACTATATAGGGTCTCTTCCACTTAGAATTATAGCAAATGCACTATGATAAATGCACTATGAGAAAAAAAATGAAATAACTGGTATAAACTTTGGAAAATAAATAAAAGGAACATTTATGTTGATTGTATGAGTAATAAATGCACTAAATATATATATTTAATTAAAAAAAAAAACACCAGAACAAAATTAGAAAATTGTGTACAGTGCCTGGAGATACCAAAAAGTAATTCTAACAATGAGAATACAGAATAGGAACTGGGAGTTGGGTTTTATGGCTTAGGCCTGAAATCCCAGCGACTTGAAAGGCTGAGGCAGGAGGATCACAAGTTTGAAGTCAGCCTCAGCAATTTAACAAGAAACATTTAACAAGGTTTGGGGCAATAGTTCAGTGGTAGAGTGCTTGCCTATCATGTGCACCCAACACCAAAAGAAAAGAATACAGAAAATGTCTCAACCAGTTGGTGTCTTTGTTTTGGCTTTTTGAGGTACTGAAGATTTGCACATGCTGGACAAGCCCTCTATCATTGAGCTACATCCCCAACTTCAGACAGCAGTCATATAAATCATGGTCTGACAGACTCTTGGGGCTGTGTTTGTGCTGGGAGTGGCCTGTGTGAAAGTTCAGGTCAACAGGCCCTAGTTGCCTAGTTGCTATGGTAACACGGTGGGGGGCTACAGGCAAAGGCCTGTGGCTCTATCAGTAGAGGCCTTGCATTCAGCACCTTTCCCCAGGCATAGTGAATTCTAAGCAAATCAAGATGAACCTAATGTCTTGCCAGTCCTGCGTCCTTCAGATTGCCTGCTTTACAGAAACCTTCCCACAGATAACCTTCTGATGAATCCTATATAATAAGCTTGCTGAGCTAGCTCTAGAGTCAGTCAAGCCTCAACAGGGCTTGGCTACCCACCTGGACCCAACTTTTTCTCTCTACAATATGTTTGTCTTTTCTTTATTCCCTTATTGCTTCTCTGGTATCCCCCCACCTTTAAAAAAAATACTTATTTTTAAGTTTTATGTGAACACAGTATCTTTATTTTACATTTATGTGGTGCTCAGGATCAAACCCAGTGCCTGGTGCATGCTAGGCGAGCACTCTACCACTGAGCCATAACCCTAGCCCACTCCAGTATCTCTTGAATTAACAGCCCAGAGCACAAATGGAGTCTCAGCACCCAGCCCTTTTTAAAACTTTTATCTTGAGACAGGGTCTCTCTAAATTGCCCAGTCTGGCTTTGAAAAAAATAATAATTTATATATATATAAAATTTTCTAAAAAGGTTTGCACTACTAGCTCTTGTGTTCAATCCACAGCACTGGGGTGGTGGGGGCGGGGGGTGGAATAAAATGAAGAAGAAAAAGAAACTTTTATTTGAAATATAACCTTGTTACAAACTAAGAAAAATATATTTGGTCTCTGTCCCCAGTTTCTAGCAGAGAGCTTCTAAAACCTTCGTAACTTTTTGAATGATAGGAACATCGTTTGTTATAATATATTATTTTTGTCCCCAGTTTTTTTTTAATTTTTTAGTTCTAGATGGACACAATGTCTTTATTTTACTTTATGTGGTGCTGAGGATCAAACCCAGTGCCTCACACATGCTAGGCACATGCTCTATCTCTGAGCCACAACCCCAGCCCTTGTTCCATTTTTGAAATGGCTCAGGAGCAATAAAGCAGAAAGAGA